TTAGATGAGCTCGTTAAAGACAAAGTACTTTGAAAACAGTAAGGACCTATACTAAAGTAAGGTGGAGTTATTATCTTGAGAACTATTTTCTAAAATACTGATTTTTAACTTCACACTGCCTGTCGTATTTCCACACAGCGGAATCATATGCACCCACGAAAAATTAGGTGTATGATAAAAACTTGGATGGATCTGCAAGGAATTATAAGTTTAAAAAAAGGCCAATCCCAAAGGTAACATACTGTATGATTCCGTGTATATAGCATTCTTGAAATAACAAAGGTTCAAACATGGAGAACAGATGAGTTGCCAGGGGTCAGGGACAGGAGACAGGTGGGAGAGTAGTGAGAGTGGCTCTGAAAGGGCAACAGGAGGGGCGCCTGGGCGGCGCAGTCAGTTAAACATCCAACTCTTGGTTTCAGATCAGGTCGTGATCTCAGGGTCATGAGATCGAGCCCCACGTTGGGCTCCACACTCAGCACAGAGTCTGCTTAAGATTCTCTCTCCCTCTGCCCCTCCTGCTCATGCTCGCTCTCTCTCTCTCTCTCAAATAAATAAATCTTTTGAAAAACTTTAAAAAAATAAGTAAAAGGGCAACAGGGAAGACCCTCATGGTGATGAAACTGTTCTATACCTTGACAGTGCCAATGTCAATATCCTGGTTGTCACATTTTAGTACAGTTTTGCAAAAGTTGCTACTGGAGGAAACTAAGTGAAGGGTACATAGGATCTCTCTGTAGTCTTCTTACAACTGCATCTGTATTATGATGTCATATTCATTATATTATATAATTATCTCAAAATATAGAAAGTTTAATTTTAAAATGATGTGGATGATGAGTTTGTAATAAAATGGGGGAAAACATGATATTAAGTAAATAAAGCAGAATAGAAAATGATGATTAAAGAAGGCAAAAGGGAAAGGAATAAATACACACCTTTTGACCATGTAGATATATAACTATATCCAAAAGGAGGTTCTATAAAGCAACCAAAAATAGATCAAGTACTTACTAACCTGACTAAACTATAAATAATGAAAACACAAAAACAGACAAGATTAAACCCAAGAAAGAAGACATGACTACAGATGAGGAGAGAGTTTTTAAAATTATAAAATAAGAGACTACTACATGCTCCACTGAATTCATGGCAACAAATCTGAAAACTCAGAAGAAACAGGTAACTCCCCAGTAAATGATAAACGACCAAAATTGACCCAAGGATCTGAATAGATGAATTACCACGGAAGACACTGGAAAGGTGGTTAAAGGTGTACCAACTGAAAAAGGCACTAGGACCAGAGGAGCTTCATAGTTGAGTTTTACCTGACCTTTAAAAAAAAAAAAAAAACACAATTTCTAAAAACAACAAAAGAAAAATAATTTTTAAAAAGGTAAAAAAAATTAACACGTAATTTCTAAGGGTAATTAAATTATTCCAGGCCAGAGAAAGAGAAGTGCTCTGCAATTCCATTTTAATCCTTACACCTGATGAAAAGAATCCCAAAAAATGACTCCCATCTCACGTATGAATTCTGAAGCAAGGGTTCTAAACAAAGGATTGACAAATGGAATCCAGCAAAGCATCAAAATAATATACTATGACCAGCAGGACTTACATCAGTATATAAGAGTAATTCGAAACCAGAAAATTTATCCACATAACTCACTGTATCAAAAACTTAAACAGAAAAAAAAAAAAAACCCATACTCAACAGACATGAAAAAGAATTTGATAAAATGCAGGTACCGTTTTCTTTGAAAATATCTCTAAGTACATGTGGAAACTCTTCACATGTAATAGGGCTATTCAACCGACACCAACAGCAAATATGAAGAAACACAGAGACAATCTCCATTTAAAATCCGTTTAGACACAGTGGCCCACCAGCTCCATTTTTATTTCACTCTGAGTTTCAAGCAAAAGAAAAAAACCGAAGAAAATTACAGGTGTAACCATCGGAAAGATGGGATAAAATAAAAATAAATTTTACCAAACCTAACAAGAGAAGATGGCAAGATATGAGGACTACTGTTAAAATCAATAACCTTTTTCTAGTCTAGCAAGAAGCACTTAGGAATGGAAAGGTGAGCAATATTCAACTCATAATGGACAGAAAAGCTATTAATTCTTCAGGAATAAATGTATCAAGAAAGGCATAAAATGAGATCTGAACAGATGGGAAAAAAAATACCATTTCTTAGATTAAAAGAGCTACATAATTTTAAAACATCAGTTCTCACAAAACTGAAATATACATTTAATGCAAGTCTAATTAGAATCCAAATAGGGCTGGTGGGGAGGGTTGAATAAAAGTGATCTTCAAATTTACATGTAAGAAAACAAATGCAAAAGGGGTATTTTTTGATGAATAGACAAGAAAAATATTTTTGAAGCTAATGTAATCAAATCAACACGATCTGAGTGCACAAATAGACAAAGAGATGGAACAGAATAGAGAATCCATGCATGGATCCTCATATATAAAAAGTTTAATAGGTGACAAAAATGGTAGTTCAGTTCACAGGGGAAAGTAGGGATTATGTAATATATCATGCTAGCACAACTAGTTAGCCATCTTTAAGAAAATCATCTTAACTAAAACTGGGAACCCGGAAGCTATAAGAAAGTAATCATATTTGAATATGAAAAGATGTAAAAAAAAAAACACATAGAAAAATATACCATCAGCCAAATCAGCACATACAGATTTGGGAAAAATATCTATAATAATGCCTACAGACAAAGGGCCAATATCCAAAATATACAAAGAAGTCTTACAAATTAAGAAAACCTAAGCAACCCATAAGAAAGGGGCAGATGGTATGAACAGACAATTCAAAAAATAAATTTAATTGGATAAAAAAATACTGAAATTCATTAGTAGCCAAGGAAATGTATCCATTAAGTTGTCAAAAATTATAAAAGAATCATAACACCTTATGCTGGTATGGATATGAAGAAAAGAATAATCTCATATTACATACAAACGGGGAAAGTGAATTGTAACAGCCTATTTTTGTATATCAGTATGGAAATATCTATTAACATAAATATGTATATTTATATGTAAACATTCATGTGTGTGTATGTGTGTGTATGTATAAATTGAAAGCACCAGTATTTAAGGGCATATGCCCAATGATGTTGATTTCAGCATTGATTATAGCGGCAGCAATATGGAAAGCATGAATATAAACATTCACGAATAGAAGAAGAGCTAGGGAAACCTGGCTGGTTCAGCCAGTGGACCACAGGACTCTTGATCTCAGGGTCGGAGGTTCGGGCCCCATGTTGAGCAGAGAGATTACTTAAAAATAAAATCTTACAAAGGAATGAGAAGAATGGCTAACTAAGTTGGGCATCCATGAAATATTTTGCAGCTTTGTAAAGGAATAAGGTATACCAATAAAATTTGATAGATCCCCGTGAGATACTGTTGAGTGAAAAAGCAAGATGTATTGCAGTATATATAAGATTCTATTTTTGTAAAACAAGCAGTGAACAACAACAGTAAAACATTCCAAAATCCCCGTGTGTGTGTATGTGTGTGTGTGTACGTGCGTGTGTGTACACCTAATGTGCGTGGAGAAAAATCTGGAAGGATACACACTGGTTTGGTAATCTGCAGGTGTGGAAAGGCAGAGGTAGGAGTCAAACAAAACAAGAACAAAAGAAAAAAAATAGAACCACTCTAAAAAAAAAAAGAAATTTAGCAGTCATGTTTATGTATTTTCATATGCATACACATATATACAAATTGAATTAAATTTAGAAAAGATACAGTAAGAATCCTAAATATGATCTCTGCTTCTTAAAAAAAAAAAAAAAAAAGCAGTAACCAAAATTATTTCTTGGTGGTAGATTAAGGGTGATGTTTATTTTTTTTATGTGTCTCTGTATTTCCTCTCATGAGAACTGTTACTTTAATAATTATGAAATGAAACCAATAAATGTTAGTTTAAAACATTACACTGAGAAATAGAGCTCATTTTGGGAAATGAAGGGAAGGAAACAGGGTTAAAAAGCCTTCCACTTAGGAGCTTTTCAAGTACAAGATATGTGAAATCAGGATCCATTTGCCCTCATCCAGCAGAAAGTTACTCACCTAAGGCAAGAGACTAAGTGGCTATTCCAAGGAGCTGTTCGAAGCAGCAAATGGGGTATATTTCCCCCTATCTAACACTTTAATGACTTAAGTAAATCAGAAAGCCATTTACACCACTCTTCGATTACCCAAGGATCTGCTGGGCCCCTTACTTCCCGTCTCCTCTGCTCAGGAACAGCTCCAAAATGGGGGCCAGGGAAGGGGGAAAGAGATGGAATTAATTTGGTCAATTTAGCTGCTCATTAGCAACGCCAATAAAAAGGCTTGATAAGCGAGATGGTCATAACTCGTGGTTAAAAGGAGGGTTCTGGGACTCTTGAGAATTTCCTTTAAGCAAATTTGCCTTCAGATACACATGATTTGCCTGCAGTACACTTTAATGCATCTGATGCTTGCTATTTTTAAGAAAGTCAGGACTTGTAAAGGTGATTTTTTTCTTCCCCTCACTTTAATTTGCACTTTAAGAGAAAAAAAAAAAAACACAGAAACATAGGAACAAAGGTCTTCAAAGTGAAGAACCAGCTCCGCAGGGAAGCAGCAGGACGACAGGGCAATGATTCTTGAGAGGAGGGAAGCCGCGTGGCCCCCAGCATGCTCTCGAGAGAAACTGCAGGAAGCCAGCAACCTTCCAAGGGAGCAGGGCTTGGCCATAAACCACCACCACAAACACTCGCTAAAAAGGACTTGTCAGGGCTTGACCAAAGCCAAATCTCTGCATATAATATCCCCGTGTTTCACTGGGCCTCATAGACTTTTGTTCCTTGGGAAGCCCAGAGACAAAGCGGGGGCAGGCCCAAGATGTTCACATCAATGTGCTCATCACCCTTGGTTATCACAAAGAACATTCGGAATAGCAACGGCAACAGAGCAAAAACCAATTTTCCCTTACTTGAAGACGACGATAGCCCCAGGACATGGAGGGCAGGCCAGGAGAAAGATCTGCAATTAAAAAAGAGTTAAGTATGGTTATCAAGAGCAGTACTGGACACGGTTAGACAATGTTACTTCAATAACAACAGTAAAATGATAATAGTAACAATAAATAACCAAACTCTAACACGAAAAATGCAATATAAAAACTTAAAAAGGCAAGCAGGTGGTTTTCCAAACGTGTTTCTGTTTGCACAGGCATCTAGGTGCGGGGACATTTGTGTGTGTGTATGTGTGCGTGTGTGTGTGTGTGAGAGAGAGAGAGAGAGAGATACAGTGGGGGAGAGGGAGAGGGACAGAGCGTGAGGGAGTGTTTGGGGGCAAGATGGGAAAAGCCTTTCTTAGGCCTTTTTTTTTTTTTGCCTCTAGAACATTTCCTCTTAACCTCTAGAACAAGACTCAATTTTTCAACTCTTCAACGCAATATGATATAGGTAGCCAGTCTGAGAAGCTTTTAACCCAAGACAAACAAAAATGTATTCCATGAATGGGACAAAGTACGGAAATGCCATCTGGTTTGCCTCCCACGGGGAAGGGGGGGTTAATCAATACCCAGCACTGCCAGATTTAGCAAATAAAAACACAGGAGGTCCAGTTAAATTTGAATTTCAGTTAAACAGTGAATAATGTTTTTGTGTAAGTTCCATGCAATATTTAGGATATACTTATATAAAAACATTATTCACTGCTTATCTGAAATTCAAATTTAACTGCGCCTCCTTCGTTCTATCTAGCAACCCTACCAATATTGCCACGCCCAGGCTCCAAGCCTCCCTTTGATTTTGAAGGGGAGCAGAATTTGCCACCCTGAAATATGTCTCTTTGGCATAAGGGTTATTTTAGCCTGATTATTTTTTTAAGAAACAGTAGACATAGGAAAAGCACTGAAAAGTGAGAAGTTACCTTTTTGTAGGAGACAGTTACAATCCTAAGGGAAGTCTCCATTTGTAAGAATGCCCCCCCCCCATACCAGGAAAAGAAGGATGACTCAAACTCTAGACACTCTTTTCAATGGAGAAGACACTGACCTCAACCTGAATAATGACCTTACCCTTGATTACCATGCTTTTCCTGGTCCCCTCCCATAACTGGCCTTCTGCCCTACCCTACCCCTACCACCCAATGTCTTCCTTTTGTCTCTAAGCCAGAGATGGTATTTAAGGTGGTGGCTTGGGCCATTCAGGGGGTTACTCAATTTTCCTGGGTCTCTCCCGTGTCTGAAGGAGCTTTACATACTATTAAACCTCCATTTGTTTTTCTCCTGTTAACTGGTCTTTTATTACATTGTTGGGAGGGGGAGAGGTCTCAGTCAAGAACCTAGAAGGGGGCGCCTGGGTGGCTCAGTTGGTTAAGCAACTGCCTTCGGCTCAGGCCATGATCCTGGAGTCCCGGGATCGAGTCCCACATCAGGCTCCCTGCTCGGTGGAGAGTCTGCTTCTCCCTCTGACCCTCTTCCCTCTTGTGCTCTCTGTCTCTCATTCTCTCTTTCTCAAATAAATAAATAAAATCTTTAAAAAAAATAAATAAACCTAGAAATGGAATCTTTCTTTCAAAAAAAAAAAAAAAAGAAGAAGAACCTAGAAGGGTAGAGGGAAAATTATTTTTCCTCCCCCACATTTGATTGGCTTCTTTCTAACCATGACCAGGTAGTTCTACTCTTCTATTCTCTTCCCCAGGGCAAATCAAACAAGAAGAACCTTGTCCTTCTAAGAGTCAAATCAGTTCCATGCTACTTGGTTTGACCTAGGCCTGGGTTATAGAAAAACTGCATTTGTATGACCTTCATCAAAGCACTGGTTCTCAAGTGAGACAAAGAAACCCCTTCAGAGCAACTGGTCGAACATGCAGATTCCTGGGCTCCCCCATTAGGAATGCTGACCTCAAAAGTCTGGGACTCCAGGAATCTGCATGTTTAACAAATGCCCCAGGAGATTCAACCACTCCTGGCAGCCAGATATGATGACTGTTTGACCTTGGCCTGGACTATTACAGGAGTCAGAGACATTCAACAGGACTAAGGATTAATGAAAGAATGAAACTCATATTTGTGGAGTTCCTTCCTCTACAGTGATTTAATGGTGTGGTTTACAAAGTCATAGATATGTGTCCCTATCTTGCTGTGGAGCATTTATTAGAACAGGTTATCTGCTATGGGGCGCCTGGGTGGCTCAGTTAGTTAAGTCGGCTGCCTTCGGCTCAGGTCATGAACCCAGGGTCCTGGGATCCAGCCCCACGTCGGGCTCCCTGCTCAGCAAAGAGCCTGCTTCTCCCTCTCCCTCTGCCTGCCTCTCTGCCTACTTGTGCTCTCTCTCTGTCAAATAAATAAATAAAATCTTTAAAAAAAATAAGTTATCTGCATTACACACTTGTTTGGCTCTGTCACGTGTATATTCTTTAGCATTTGGCTCTTCGGTTCTCTCAAAATCTACATTTAGAAATAAAGGGTACTATAAGGAAAATCATTACAAAGAAAAACACCTGCTTGAATCCCTACCAAGAGGAAGAGAAAGAAGAATGGAAAAGAGAAAGGGTCTCGAAAGGAATGTGGCCAGGAGTCCACTACCTGCAAAATACCTGATTAGAGAACCCAGCCAAGGAAATATCCACCGAGAACGAGCCTTTCCCCCTGTGGATCAATTTGATTAATAGTGCAAAATCAATGACAATTACAGGCCCATAATCCTCCAGTGGTAATCACCAAATCCAAGAAGCTCTAAAAACCAAAAGTTGGGTTTTTTTCAAAGCTAATTTGGTAGCAAGTATGACTTGAACTGAACTGAGACTATTTATGGACTTATTTATTCCACTTATGATGAGTATTCATATGGCTTCCATAAAAAATAGTATCTTTGGGGGGCACCTGGGTGGCTCAGTCAGTTGAGCATCCGGCTCTTGATTTCGGCTCAGGTCATGATCTCGGGGGTCGTGAGATTGAACTCCACATCAGGCTCCTCACTCAGCAGGGGAGTGTGCTGGAGATTCTATCTCTCCCTCTCCCCTTGCCCCTCCCCCTGCTCATGCTCTCTTTCTCAATCTCTCTCTCTAGAATAAATCAACCTTTAAAAGAATAATAATAATAATGATAATAATAATCTTTTGACTATAGGATGTTACCCCAGATCCCAATAATGATAATAATAATCTTTTGACTATAGGATGTTACCCCAGATCCCACTGGGAACATATATAAAATATTCCACATTCACTGTATTGACTTTCTGATTTTTTTAAGTAAGCTCTACACCCAACATGGGGCTTGAATTCATAACCATGAGATCAAGAGTCAAGTGCTCTACCGACTGAGCCATCCAGGTGCCCCTGTATTACCTTTCTGAAATCCAAAAATTTCTGACTTCTGAAATACATCTGACCTGAATGGTTTGGGACAAGGACTGTCAATTTGGAATCTCAATCAGCCAAACATTAATTTATCCCTACTTCCCACCCCACCCCTCAGGAGCAATCCAAGAAGGAAAAAAACGAAGTTGGTATTCTCTACCACTGACCCAGCAGTAAAGTTACTCACCTTAAGCAAGGGATCAAGTTGGAGGTTGCACTCAGTTACTGAGCATCAGGCCCCTCAAAGGCTACACTCACAAGCTACAGTATACAGAGAGCAGACAAGGGCCCCCAACCACCTTGGAAAGGTCCTCAATATTTCTGGAGTCACCTAAGAGCCATGACAGCAGCCTTCCTGAGATTCTGGAATAGCCAAGATACTTCATGCTAACATGCTAAACAGAGAAGCAAAAATACAACACTGGGCCCCACAGTTAATTCTTACTTTTCCCACAGCCAAGGAGAGATGAGCAGATTCTTGGGGCAGATTCCCCTCTAACTGCTCCATTTGGCTGGCTCTGATTCATGACAGCCCTATGCCAAAAACCCAGAAACCTACTAAAGGGAGCAAATCCTCCAGCCCCAACCAATGACGGGTCTAATTTCTTTTGAGGCAGCTAATCAATCTAGTTTTGACCCTAACTGAATTTTCCAACAGTTAGTTTCACGTGGCCAAGCCACTCTAATCAACACTTTGGCCTTTCTCATCTGGCGTGTCTATTCCCATCACCAAGATAGAGGGTATCTTCTTTGAGCAACCTTTAAATCAGATACATGTAGACATATCGAATCAGCAGATCTGAAAAAAGACCTCAAGTTCATCATATTCCATTTCCGGTAAACTCATGCCCCCCCTCAGGAACTTCAAAGATTTATGACATTGAACCTCTCTGCCCTAGCATGCTGGAGCCACATCCATAATCACTGTTAACCAAAGAAGCCATGCGAAAATAACATTTTAATTCAGAGGCCCAATGGCCCCTAGCCTTGGCCTGAACATCCCTGCTTTCTTCCTTGCTGGGATGCCATCCACCTCCAAATTTTGGTAGCATGTTTTAGACCAGCAGATGGAAAGCTAAACCATCCCTTCAGTTGCAAATAGGGTGGGAAGAAAGGACACTTAGAAGTGCAAACAGGGACAGTAGGAAGAAGGGAATGTATCTGAACCTATCCCAGCACCGAGTTGGCGCTTCTGTATTCATGCTGCAATCTGCCCAGTTCAGCACCTGAAGAAAAGGACAAGGACAGGTGGTAACAGAGAGATGTGCTACAAAGCACTTCTACTCTCCAGTCGTTTGGGAGATGAGCGGGGCCTTGCTATTAAATTCCACTTTGCAGATGAAGGTACCTAAGGAAAAGGTTCCAACAAGAACCCAGATCCGTTAAACTCCCAGTTCAACACACTTTCCGCCTCACACCTGACATGGTCCACACCTCCTGATGGCTTCTCTTCTTTAGACTCTAGCCCTGCCCCTTGACCCAATGGCCCCACACCTATACCACCACACAGCTCACAGGATCTAGTCACTACAATGCAAGACCTCTCCAAACGCAACCAAACTGGGCAGCAAATTAAGTTTACATAGATGGGTTGCAGAGTCTAGCATTCCCTGAAGACGTACTCATCTTAGCTCCAACCCACCTCATTCAAAACCACGTCTGCTGGGTTC